GGACTTAGATTAATCATAGCGTCTTCAAACAATGTTCTGAGGAGGATGTTTCTATGTTGTGCTTAGTTGCGCTAAACCAAAGTTCAAATGTCTTTCTTCCCGTGTAAACGATTCGTATTTGCCTTAATCATCGTTAGATGCTATACCAGCACCGTACATCTGCAGTAACTGACCAGCAAAAATACCCCAGCTATACATTTCGAGTTTCATTCTGATGCAGATTAACGGGGTGTCCTTGCAACCTTTATTTGGCTCATAACGTAACATACTTCTGCCCAATGTGTGACTTGTAAGACACGGCAACAAAACATTTCGATGTGCGCTTAATGTTTCATTGAACGAGCTAGATGGGCAGCAATTTTTACGAATACTTGTAAATACATACACCTTACGTGATGGTTTTAAAGATAACCTGAGCGGATCCTGAACGAGTTTCACTGGACTTTTCCGAGCCCTCTACACGACTATTTCGGACTGATGATGAAGCGTCTTCATTGAATTTTTTTTAGTCATAGGTCCTCTCAGTATAAAGTTTTCTTTTTTTTCATATTAGCTATCTCGAAATACAGGCTACAGTTCCAAGGCGTTCTTAGAATTGCTTACCATAAAAATAGAGAAAACTAAAAAAAAAAAATATCCAAGTGTGCACTGACTTAGTGAAAGGAATTTGGTTACATTTCAAGCGATTTATTTCTTTCAACCTGTTTGATTTCGTGGGACAAGTCGCAGAGACCAAATTTCGGTCCGTTTAATTGTTCCTTGGTAATTCAACCTATTTATTTGAGAATTGATTATACCTTTACTCGGTATAAACTATTTTTTAAACGTTTTCTTTATAATACTGCCGCAATCAACTCGAATTTTCTCGACACCGTTGAAAGAAATAATCAAAAACAAAGTCTGAAAGAATACAATTTGGTACGTATGGTTTAGTCTGGGGTGGAAAGTTTTAGTTTATTTTTCTGCAACTGAGAAAAATTTTAAACAGTACTCGTATGCGTAAAAGATGACTAGTGTATATCCTTACACTGCACAGCCTGATTTTATTTACCGGCGAAAATTAAAAACTGAAAGCTTCGTGAACTTTCAGATTATTTCAATCGAAACGAGAACAGTGCTGCGACAGGTCAGGATATGGTCAGGGCAAAAAAATTCTACAAGGTCAGGGAAAAGTCAGGGAATTTTATTTTGAGTCAGGGAAAATTGATATTTTGAAGAAACGTCAGGGAAAATTGAAATAATTTAACAGCAGATTTAATACCTATGAAGGCTGGAAGAAACATTTGGGGTCACTGTGATCTCATCGATATTTTTCATGAATGAGGAAGGAAATTCCTCTGAGTGGGATATTTTCTCAGGCGGTCATTGCCTGATGAAAAAACGGTCAGTAACTTGGCAACTTCATCCGGGAAAAATTTGGTATGACATGTCATGAGATACGGACTTGACTTTTCCATAGCAGCTATATTTTGACAGGGTTTTATCTCAATGTTCTTCCTTTTGCTAAAAATTGTATTTTCATGAAATTATGTTTACTTTTTAGGACTTTGGAACACGGCATGATGACTTTTTTAATTCTCGTCACCTTTCCGGCTGCTGGGCTATGTACTAATATGGAAAGGGAAGTCTTAATTGTTGATCATTTTCCAGAATCCCGCTATAACGGAAGCAGCTAAATTGCCCATGCTTCCACGTTTGAACAAAAGCATGAAAAATAGCGCGAGCGCGATGCAAACCACGATGAGACAAAACAAGTCTTTCCTTTTATACCCTCAGTTTATTTGAACTTGTACAAATGAAAAACAAATCTTATCTTTTGTGTCCCTTATGGTCTAGATAATTGCCATACAATCCATAGCGAGTTTAATTATTACATTGTTAAGCGTCTTAAATCCGAAAACCATCATCTTGATCACGATACAAATAAGTCAAAAACCAGTGAAATTACGACTTTTTTCTATCCGCTCCAACTAGGCATAGCAAAAATCCTGAAAACTGTTAGCTAAGATTACAGTTAACTTACGGGTAAAAAGCAAGCATAATAAAAACCCTTAACGAAGTTACAAAATCTGTCAGGATCTAAAAACGCGCATGCCAGGATGTCTCAGACATAGAGAGCGTAAATGTCGACGCAGGCTGTTCCCCCATTGTCTCCCTCGTAAGCATTCATCAAATCTTCGCCATACCACAGGCGGAGTTCTTGGCCTGACTGGACCGAATAAGGGTTTAAAAACGACAACACAAGCTCTGGAGAGACCGAGGTGTATCCGGGAATTTTGGACCACTTAGCACCTTGGTGAACAATGAACTGGCTTGGCGGCAAAAGAACATGATTGGTCGTGGTTGTTATGACAACATTAATCTTTTCAGCGGAATAGAAGGAAACACCTTGACATCCCCAGTAGGACCAGTAGGAATTGCGTCGTGTGTCGCACGTCACGTAACCGTACAAGTGAACCAATTTTACTGCAGCGAGCTTTCCACCAGAGACAGGGTTAGCGAAGAACCTGCCAAACTGTTGATTCCTCGCACCAAAACAAACTGGAGAGAAATTCATCTTTCGCCATCGACCTGTATATAGCAGCAGAGAATACGTGTCACATTAGTAAGACTTGATTCGCGGATCTGCACAGTGGCGCGGTCTGCGTAAGAATACTTACAGCCGAAGTTATAGCCTGCCAGTATAAAGTGCAAAGCTTTTTAATCATGGCGCAATTGCTTCATAAATTTCAACCGTAAAAAATTACAAACCCGAGTTGTGTTTCCCAAAAGTTCTTCTGGTGATAAGCGAAGATTCTTGGAAAGCGTTTGAGAGTTTCGAGCTTCTCTTCTCAAGCGATTCTGGGTTCCGAGCAGGCCCTTCACGCTTGTCAGCTTCGGCTGGAATTTTCACAGCGAGGGAACCAAGGGTAAACACGAAAAGGCCAACTACAACGGAGTTCATAGTGTCAGGACTGATTTGTTAGTGTCGTCTTCTTCACATATATACCGGACTGAGTAACTCGAGTATGGGTTTTGCCTTCTTCGCTATCATTTTAAGCCTTTTTAAGATCGTGTTGCGACAAGATTTACAGCGGTTGTTTATCTTTTCTTTAGATTTGCATTCTATTTTCAGCGATTGTATAAAGCACAGTATAGTTCATACGCAAACAGAGTTGACATTTCTTTCTTTAGCTTACAAAAAACACAAACTTTCGCTCTGACTTCACATATCGCGAGCACGAAGTCAGTACTCGACAAACTATTATTCGCCTATTAACAACTACTACTTGTAATTATATGAAGCTGGTATCATTACAGAGCAATCAGAACAATCGTCTCGGCTTCATAAAACATTTTAGTCTCGCGAAACTCACAGCGGCTGGTTCTGGCTCGCGTTCAGTTAAGCGCCACGTCAACACAACTTAAGTTCTACCTGTTCCGTTATTAACCTTAGGACGCTAATTAATTTGAGTTTTAGAACTCGGAAAAAGCGTCCTATCCCAGTTCTTCTCTCTGGTCATAGGAACAAAACGTGTTGAAAATATTGAAAGAGTGGGGGATTTGAAATCGTGTTTTTAGCTACAAAAGTCACATGCAAATGCAAATTTCAAACGCGGAAACGCTGATCACGTAGTGATCAATGTTTATTTACCAAAAACAATGTTTGTCCTCAGGCGCCGATAACAACTCAAACTTCCTTCCTAATTGTATTATCAAACATAAAGCACTAAATGCCGTGATGATGCTTTGCCAAAACAGTTTGCTTGTATCGATATATCACTGAAGAAACAAAAATGTATTCCAAGTCAAAAATCCTAACTTTTCGAACCCTAACAGTTTGGCGAATTCTCCGATTACTCCAAACAATCTTTCACTTCCTTGGCAAAAGTGTTAGGAGCAATTTACGCCTGTTTTGCCCGACCTCACAAGTTTTTTGAACCCGCAATTGATATTTCTGTTCATGTACAGGTGGTTTGAAAGTAAATTCTTGATATAGAGTTGATAACAAAAACAACAGGATTTTGTCGGGTATTTTACTGTTTGCGGAGTGGCCACGTCATGATCACGGCTTGGACTTGTTTAGCAGAGGGGAGACAAAAAAAATTTAACTGATAACATTTAATCAAATGAAACAAAATCAGTACTTTGTAAAATGTATGCGGAAAACATATCGGGAAAATGGTGACAATTTTTGGGCCAACCGGCGATTTCTTCGTTCATGGAGTTGCATTGTCTAATCATTGCGGAATATTAGAGCTTTCACCATTCGTGAAAGATGTAGATGATATTTAATGTGAAAAGTTAAAAAAGGCTAAGGACTGACAACTTCATCAGGATAGAAATTGAAGGAAAATTATTAGAAACGTTTTGGTCTTTAATTCCTTAGTAGTTTCAGCAAGCATTTGCGCATGTTCATAATCTTCCTCACATACAATGTTTGATATCATGAAAAGGCCTATAGGACCATTACGTAACTTCTACTGACTTCAAGAGCGAGAAAGCAAAATGTGCGTGCGTTAGAGCCGAAGAAATATGGTCTAAAGAGGCTAAAGAGAAGTATTAGGGGTATCACTAGAGGAGAAAATTCGCGAGAATCGCTTACGATCCGGTTGAGACGCTGACAGACAACAGCAAATATTACAAAGAATCGAGCCTTAGGTGAGTTGATCTTATAAAAGAAAAAGTCGCTCGGTTGGGTCGCCTGTGTGTGGCGTTGCTCGAACCAACAAGCAAATTTCTTCTAAGTTTTATCGTAAGTCAGAAGTTGTTCGTCTTACCCTAGTTTAAGATCATTACACTTCTAGGTTTAAAATGGGAATCGCCGTGACATCCTCCCGGCATCAGTAGTATCTTTGCGGGTTCGAGCAACGCCAGACTACTATTAAACTTTGTGGTACGAACAAGCCCATTTTGGAACTGGCCGTCTCTGAGAGGCATTTGCATCTTTTTTTTTTTCAATTCGCTTGAAGGAACGGCTGAGTGCCCCGCTGACGACCACGCATTTGCCTGATAAAATATTCAATCTCTGCGGACCGTATAATGATTCCGAGCCAGTCCCAGTATCGTGCGCGTGCCTTTTGCTACTGCATAAAGTGAATTCGTTGGTTTTTCAGACAGTTTAATACTTCTAATATTAAATCTGTATAGAAATTAGTAAATGATTTGCCAAACATAAATCCCTGACAAAGTTTACTTTATTAGATATGTGTCGAAATTTCGATGCGTTTATTGCTTTTGAAGTTAGGTGACCAAACAGTTCCTCGTGTGATAACTTCATTGAAAGTGTCTCCCGTAGGGATCTCTATTTAGAGAAACGCTGCAGCAAATTTATGTCGACTGATTCAAGCTTAACATACCGATTTCCAAAAGGGCTTTAGAAAAATGTTTAGAGACTGAAACATCTTCCTCGGCAAACTTTTAAAGATGGACGTACCGTGGCAACTGACAAAATTCATTAATCTCTCCTGAGTGACTGGTTTTTCAGTGACACCTGATAATAAAACCAAACGAATGCCCCCAGTTAGTCTGGCAACATGACGGCTTGCACCGTCTCGAGAAAGGAACATAATTTTAACGCGGTGTAACGATTTATCAGTGGTTTTCGCATGAGTTGTTAAGAGTTTAAAATTCCTCGTTCGCTAGTTTTTTGTTTTGTTTTGTTTTTTTTATCTGTCTTTCTTTCATTTTCGTTACTCTCTAATTTTGAAATATAAATATATCGGCACGCTTTCTGTCTTAAATGTCAATATGTTTCGAAGTTTAATAATGCTGTTCTGCCTCACATCCAGCGGTAATAGCTACAAAAAAAACACCAGGTTTGATTCTTCACTTGACAATGGAGTTGAATTGTAGCTCCGGTAATAACTAAGTTTCTTCGCTTATAAATGTACTGAAGTAATTCCTGTAAAACTGAATTCGTAACAAAACTAAGACATTAACAAATTTTTTCCGTTTGGCAAGTTAGCGATAATAACATACGACCATCCATAAAGAATCGAAACGATTAGTTTAACGAAAAGCGTCAAACTTAATTGGTTTCCCCCGATATTGCTGTCAATCAAACAGCACTGGCAATTTTTAATTTTCTTGCAATCGCAATGGTTGGATTATTGCGAGTTACCAGAGAGAGTGAAAATTGAATATTTCAGCTTTGCAAACCGATTAAAACAGCGGAGAAAATTATCTCTGATGGTCTGCAAAAGGTAAGAATTAGTCAGGTAAGCAATAGCTCTTTTTAAACGAGGAAGCTGTCATGAATGGCACAGGGTTTTTGGCTAGTTTCCTTCACATTATCAAAGAAAAAAAACCGTTAAGATTTAATTCGTAATTCAAAACCATCCGTTGTTGAAACACGAAAACAAACGCTTTGCGTATTCTCGATTTTTATAATTATATCAACTGACAAACATGCTTTCTGGGTTTCTTTCGTTCGTTTAATTAAGGAAGGAAAAAAGCGTATAAAATTTGAACTGTGTTGTTGTCATTTGCACTTTGTAAACGATGAAAGCAATTTCAATAAAGCCTTAAAAAACAACCCTTTCCTGTGTCATTCGCGGCTACCATCAGCCTTAGATCGCAAAAATATTTGTCCATACTATCTCGCTGATTCTTTCAAACTGAAAATCGCAGACTCTAACGTGTGTGTCGTACTGAAACGTGATAATTGATGTTGCTCTTTGTTATTAGTCATCGAAAGAAACCTGCATAAATTAGGAGATCTTAAATCTGCTTGGTCGAATTTTACTAACAGCTTAAGACAATTTTCTAAATAACAACATTTGTTTCTCTCTTATCACTGTCGATGGCCTGGATCTCCCTCAAAAAAGTTTTTTTCTAGATTCGGGTAGGTGCACCTATTTCGTTTAGAAGTAACTCTATTCTAATGTTTATTTAATTTTAAAATAAGAGCTGGTTATTCCATGGATGTTTATGGAATACCGGTGAATATGTGGAGAAAAATAAATTTCCCTAACAATGGTAAAACCTGTTAAAAACACGTTCAATAAAAGGCTCGGTAACCTCGTAGGCTTTCCATTGTGGAATTGAGATTAGCTTGATAAGATACAACTTTTTTTTAAATTTGAAAAGAATTCTGTCAAATGGGTTCAGAACCATCTGAATTTTAAAAATGCAAGTTCATTTTCCAGGAAACATTTAGCGTTTTTGATACACCACTGTTGTTTGATTATTGTTAACTTTTACATTCTTTCTTCCTTTCGTTTATAAAGGTTTCCTCAAAAATGCGATTCCTAAAATATATCTATCTATTGTTTTTCTTTAAAACTTTTCTTTTCGAACATGATAAAGTTGCACATGAATCAATGTCATAATGAGTTAAATATTTCAAACACTTTATATGGCTCGGAGATTGCAGCCCCTTTACTACCGTGTCAACGGAATGCGAAGACGATTTTCAGATTCTCATCAAAATGGATTTAGCTTTGAATAGATTCAGTTGTCCCTTATAAAGATTCTTGCTTCCGACCTATTGCAAACAAACAGCACTATTAAGAGAGCGTTTTAATCTGTAGAGATTCCCATAAGCTTACTGGAAATTCTAGAGCTATACATCCAGGAATTAATATGTTTGCTCTTCGGGGACCGGGTGAAGCTTAGGAGAATTTGGAGGCCCCCACCCTTAATTAGAAAAGCATTAAAGTTATGACAATGAAATTTCGAGACTCTATTATAGCACTTCCAAAAATATTTTCCTTGAAGACTAGAGCATTGACTGACGACGTCATAAAACGTAGAAATGACGTCATTATTTTTTACTAGCCGCCATCTTCGATCCGCTATGTTAGATTTTATAATCTCTTTACAAAATGTCAAAAACACCAAAATTGGGTAAGAAGTAGTTAATATCGATGAAGTAAACTGGCTTCACTTAAGGTTACTTCAAACCTTCGCGGATGTCCTCCAGAAAAAAATTCGTACGCGCGCTGTTTTCAAGGAAACCCCCACAAACTATATATCAACAGGAAGGTTATAAAATTTAGAATTCGATAAGATTATGTTTTGTTTTGGATTTTTCTTTCCAAAGGCGG